TATGGAGCATGTACTGTAATATTGTGCCAATTTGTGTAAACTGAAAGTGTAGAACACTATTCATACAGGCTGGATTCGGGGAGACGCTATTAGCGCTATTTGTTTCATTTAAACAGTTTTTTATATTTCAAAACTGAATCACAAAAGATCAGTATTAATTTTAATAGAATTCTTATATCAAATTGTCTATTTTAACGTAATACATTTTGTTATTGCAAGATAATGAAATGGAAATTAATATATATATAAAAAATCTTGGCATACATAATGAGGTATTCAAGTACATGTTTCAGTTAGACTTATTGTTAGTCAAATCAGACGTAAGTTCGGAACTGTTGGGTATTACTGAAGAAGAAGAGAAGGGAACTGTTGTCTTTTTTACCTTATTATTTTCTTAAATCTAATGACACGTATCATTTGTACGCCAAGTTAAATTCTACCCTTCTTTCTCTCCGACTCGCCCCACTACTCATCATTGTCACTCTCCTTCATATATGTATAATATATTTTTAAATAATTCTTTAAATCATTTTTTATATATATTTTTGATACATCTGTACTTTAACATAATATATTATCACGAAAGTAACTGATATTAAAACATCTATGTAAATATATACAATTTATACTAACTTCGATACATTGTGCACATCCTCCCTCCTCTTCCTCTCCCTCCTCCCTTCCCCACTACTCATCTTTTTCATTTTATTTCACTATCTTGTCGTGTAATATGGATTTTTCCCATAAAATATATCGTAATATGTCATTAAATTGACATTAACATTAACATTTAATTATTTACATTATTTAATTACATTACATTTAATTATAAATAATCGTATATTGTAAATTATTGTACATTATGTATAAAAATAATGAAATTGCAGTACCTGAAAAATTGTGAGGGTTTTTGAAAGGAAAAGAAAATCGTAGTCGTGTGAAATTACATACTGAAACAGTTTAATTATTTACAAATTTTAACACTTTTCCTATTTTTTCTCTTTCTATTTTGCAATGATATTTGACGATTAATTTCTCGTACTCGGATGTACGTTCGCGTCCTTACTAAACATAAAATTACTTCTTTAGGTATTTCGATTTTATAGAATATATACCGATAATATAGAATGAATAGAACAGGAAAATTCTGTTTCTTATGCAGTCAACAAAGAAGTGAAACAATTAGTTTACACTGCGGTTTCCTCACGCCAAAATTGTAAAGGAAGCTGCTTGGGCAATTAGTAATATTATGGCTGGTAATGAGGACCAAATCCAAAGTGCGATAGATGCTGGTCTGTTGTCACCATTAATAGAAGTACTCCAGTTTGTAAGTATATTTGTATTAAAATATAAACAAATCTCTCGATGTTAAAACAATAGAGCATGATAACAAGGGCAAATCCAAGAGTCAACGCAACTTACAATTTAAATTTTCAAGTATATTAAAACTTCTGAATATGTATGCGTACAAAATTTTAATTATATTCAGAAGTTTTAATATACTTGAAAATTTAAATTGTAAGTTGCGTTGATTCTCAGATTTTCGCCCTTGTTATCATCCTCTATAGTATATTTGTACATATATGAAAAAATCAGTCAAAAATTTGTTTTAAATATTTCTATAAAGAATTTTATGAATATATCCATTTTTAAGGGGGATTATAAGCCACAAATACAAGCTGCATATAATGTTTTATTAAATTTTTTATACATTTTGTATTTATTTCAAATTTTTCTTTTTTTTTTTGTATATTGTTTTAAATTTTATACATATGTATATAAGTAGCAATTAACATTTTGCTATTCAAATTTGCCCTAATATCATTAAAGTACCTACTGTGTAAATATTTACAAACATTCCTTTAATATGCAATGTATATATCTCTCTTAGGAGGCTGGAATAGAAAGAAATGCTTCATCAGTGGAATTACGTAAAGCTAAGAAGGATCAGCGTCTAAAACGACGTAGTTTTGTTACACAAAATCAAAAACTGTCGGATTTATCGAATAAAGCTGACGTATCACTCGCTTCTGCTCATTCTATAAATGAAATAATAAAGCACGTAAAGTCATCAAATGAAGTAATACAATTTATGGCAATTCAGGATTGCAGAAAGTTATTAAGTCGAGAAAAAAATCCTCCTATAAATGATATAATAGAAGGTGGCATAGTACCATATTTGATCGAATTGTTAGATGAACAATTAAAGTATGTACCATATATGAAAATTATGAAAGTGATTTATTGATTTAAGTAAATTATTTTTTCATATATTTATGAGAGAAACAAGATATAATTTATTTATTTCTATTTAGCATTCCTTTGCAATTTGAAGTAACATGGATATTAAATAACATAGCCTCTGGTACATCCGTACAAACACAAAATGTTATAAAACATGGAGCAATACCAAAATTAGTGTACCTACTTAAATCTTCATCATCTAATGTTGCGGAACAAGCAACGTGGGCCTTAGGAAATATAGTCGCAGATGAACCATATGCACGTGATTTTGTTCTTGAATGTGGCGCTCTACCTCTTTTGTCGGAGTTAATTAAACCTGATACTTCAGTAAGTGATACTATATTTAACAACCCTTTTGATTACATTTGTCTTATTTGCTTTCATATTGTCGATATTAACATTAAAAAATTTTATTAGGTGACGTTCATGCGTAACATAGTATGGACTTTATCGTACTTATCAAGAAACAAGAATATACCGCCACCATTTGAATTAATTAAACCTGTTCTACCAATATTTAATCGTTTACTTGATTCTACAGATCGAGATGTACTTGGTAAGATGTTCATGTTATCTGTTATTGTTATTTAATATATATATTGAATGGTGATATCAGTAGACTCGTAAGATTTAAAAATCCTAGAAAGTGAAATGTCTAATCGCGCCTTGTAACAGGATGTTAGTGTTTTATTATCATTGTGTGAATATTATATACCGCGTATGTAGTTCCCCTAATCGCGTGCCGAAATTTGTTCAGACTTACAACGCAACTCTAAAAATATTAACAACATTGTGAAGAATATCACTACGTCGACTAGACAATAGAGGTCTATAGTTACTCATTCCAATTCTCGCAACTGCCGAATTATGTGAGTAATTGTTTATATAGAACTTCTTTCTAACATCTCCCCAAGGCGTCTAAGGTAGGTTTCCATTACAATGCCTTACTGATGAGTCCAGTAGTGGAAACCGTAGGACGAAACGCCAACTTGTGATATTCTTCGCAAACTTATTTTTCGCAGATTTTAAATTATCATTACTTTAATATTAAATTTTAATATATGTATTTCAACATACATATTATTAAGATCTAATAAGATGCTATAGCATCGAAATTTGTTAGATTGTTTGTCAATTTAACTAAAGTGATATTACCGTGGTAGTTGTTTAGAGTTGCGTTGTAAGTCTGAAAAAATTTCGGCACGCGATTAGGGGAATTACATATGCGGTATATAATATTCACACAATGATAATAAAACACTAACATCCTGTTACAAGACTCGATTAGGCATTTCACTTTCTATTATTTAATACATAATTTATTTTGAATTTGAAATACACTATTGTTTGCAGTCCTAGATGATATTTGTTGGGCACTTTCCGATCTTACTGATGGATCCAACGACAAAATACAAGCAGTACTAGAAGCTGGTATTATACCGAAACTCGTAGAAATGTTGACTTTACAGGAACTATCTATTCTTACTCCAGCATTGCGTACAGTTGGAAATATAGTAACAGGTAATGATGCTCAAACAGATGCTGTAATTCATGCAGGAGGACTGTCACATCTTGGTGCTTTGTTGCGGTTTCCTCACGCCAAAATTGTAAAGGAAGCTGCTTGGGCAATTAGTAATATTATGGCTGGTAATGAGGACCAAATCCAAAGTGCGATAGATGCTGGTCTGTTGTCACCATTAATAGAAGTACTCCAGTTTGTAAGTATATTTGTATTAAAATATAAACAAATCTCTCGATGTTAAAACAATAGAGCATGATAACAAGGGCAAATCCAAGAGTCAACGCAACTTACAATTTAAATTTTCAAGTATATTAAAACTTCTGAATATGTATGCGTACAAAATTTTAATTATATTCAGAAGTTTTAATATACTTGAAAATTTAAATTGTAAGTTGCGTTGATTCTCAGATTTTCGCCCTTGTTATCATCCTCTATAGTATATTTGTACATATATGAAAATGCTTGGGCAATTAGTAATATTATGGCTGGTAATGAGGACCAAATCCAAAGTGCGATAGATGCTGGTCTGTTGTCACCATTAATAGAAGTACTCCAGTTTGTAAGTATATTTGTATTAAACAAATCTTTCGATGTTAAAACAATAGAGCATGATAACAAGGGCAAATCCAAGAGTCAACGCAACTTACAATTTAAATTTTCAAGTATATTAAAACTTCTGAATATGTATGCGTACAAAATTTTAATTATATTCAGAAGTTTTAATATACTTGAAAATTTAAATTGTAAGTTGCGTTGATTCTCAGATTTTCGCCCTTGTTATCATCCTCTATAGTATATTTGTACATATATGAAAAAATCAGTCAAAAATTTGTTTTAAATATTTCTATAAAGAATTTTATGAATATATCCATTTTTAAGGAGGATTATAAGTCACAAATACAAGCTGCATGGGCTATAACGAACTTGACAAAAAGAGGAACAATTCAACATTTATCTCAATTAGTAGAAGCGGGTGTATTGCCACCTTTTTGTAATTTATTAGAATCGAAGGATTGGAATGATATTATTGTTGTATTAGATGGTTTAACTAATATTTTACGTGCTGCAGGGAAAATAGGGCAAGCAAAAAGACTTGCTATTACGATAGAAGAAGCTGGAGGCTTAGATAAAATAGAAGCTCTTCAATATCATTCGAATGAAAAAATTAGTCAAAAATCTAAGGCTATAATCGACGCGTTTTTTTCTCAAAAGGTTTGTATATTTTGTTCACAAATAATTTTATCTAAATAGATAAAATACATATTATGAATAAAATTGTAATTTTATTTATTAATTGTTGGTACATTGCATTGCTGCTGGAATTAATTCATGCGAGATATATAAGATTCATATACAAGAGTCCCATTTTAAATGATACTTTAATACATCTCAAGTATAATATGTAGAATCAAAAAAATTTCAGAAAAGTTATGTGACATCAAGAGGGATATAAGATGATATAGTACTTGTATATTGTTTTAAATTTTATACATATGTATATAAGTAGTAATTAACATTTTGCTATTCAAATTTGCCCTAATATCATTAAAGTACCTACTGTGTATATATTTACAACCATTCCTTTAATATGTAATGTGTATATCTCTCTTAGGATCATAAATTGTTAAAACGACGTAACCTTCGTATATCAAATCGAGAACTGTCGGATTTATCGAATAAAGCTGACGTATCACTCACTTCTATAAATGAAATAATAAAGCACGTAAAGTCATCAGACGAAACATTACAATTAATGGCAATTCACGCTTGCAGAAAGTTATTAAGTCGAAGAAAAAATCCTCCTATAAATGATATAATAGAAGGTGGCATAGTACCATGTTTCATTGAGCTTTTAGATAATCTTATTGAGTATGTACCATATATGAAAATTATGAAAGTGATTTATTGATTTAAGTAAATTATTTTTTCATACATTTATGAGAGAAACAAGATATAATTTATTTATTTTTATTTAGCATTCCTTTGCAATTTGAAGTAACATGGATATTAACTAAAATAGCCTCTGGTACATCTGTACAAACACAAAATGTTATAAAACAATTTATAAGTTATGGAGCAATACCAAAATTAGTGAACCTACTTAAATCTTCATCACGTACTGTTGCGGAACAAGCAGCGTGGGCCTTAAGAAATATAGCCGAAGATGCATGTGATGATGTTCTTAAACATGATACTCTACCTCTTTTGTTAAAATTAATTAAACTTGATATTTCAGTAAGTGATATTATATTTAACAACCCTTTTTATTACATTTGTCTTATTTGCTTTCGTATTGTCGATATTAACATTAAAAAATTTTATTAGGTGACACTCATGCGAAAATTAATCGGCAATTTATGTAATTTATGTAGAAATCAGAATGCACCATTTGAATTAATTAAACCTGTTCTACCAATATTTAATGATTTACTCAATTATGCAGATCGATATGTACTTGGTAAGATGTTCATATTAGGTATCTGTTATTATTATTTAATATATAATTTATTTTGAATTTGAAATACACTATTGTTTGTCCTAGCTGATACTTGTTGGACACTTTTCTATCTTACTAATGGATCCAAAGACGCAATGCAAGCAGTATTAGAAACTGGCATTGTACCGAAACTCGTAGAGATGTTGAATTTACAGGAAAGAATTATTATTACTCCAGCATTGCGTACAGTTGTAAATATAACATCAGGCAATGATGCTCAAACAAATGCTGTAATTCATGCGGGAGGACTGTCACATCTTGGTGCTTTGTTGCGGTTTCCTCACGCCAAAATTGTAAAGGAAGCTGCTTGGGCAATTAGTAATATTATGGCTGGTAATGAGGACCAAATCCAAAGTGCGATAGATGCTGGTCTGTTGTCACCATTAATAGAAGTACTCCAGTTTGTAAGTATATTTGTATTAAAATATAAACAAATCTCTCGATGTTAAAACAATAGAGCATGATAACAAGGGCAAATCCAAGAGTCAACGCAACTTACAATTTAAATTTTCAAGTATATTAAAACTTCTGAATATGTATGCGTACAAAATTTTAATTATATTCAGAAGTTTTAATATACTTGAAAATTTTTCAACATTTATCTCAATTAGTAGGAGCGGGTGTATTGCCACCTTTTTGTAATTTATTAGAATCGAAGGATTGGAATGTTATTATTGTTGTATTAGATGGTTTAACTAATATTTTACACGCTGCAGAGAAAATAGAACAAGAAGAAAGACTTGCTATTATGATAGAAGAAGCTGGAGGATTGGATAAAATAGAAGTTCTTCAACATCATTCGAATGAACAAGTTTGTCAAAAATCTAAGGCTATAATCGACGCGTTTTTTTCTCAAAAGGTTTGTATATTTTGTTCACAAATAATTTTATCTAAATAGATAAAATACATATTATGAATAAAATTGTAATTTTATTTATATTAATCTACTAAATAGAAAAAGCATCAATTATGATTAAAGTTAGATGTTGGAATATATCTATATGTAAATATTTAAAATCTCAGATATACCATTTTTTCAAACTTGCAACATAATCAAACTGAAATAATATTTCCAGACAGAGGGCCACGATTGAGGAGCACGACTATCAGTTCCACGTACGGAGCGGTCAATAAGCAGGGTGAATCTCAGCCATTGACGGGAATGAACACTATCACTGCCGTTCTGCCAGATTCTTTCGTTTCATGCAAAAACGCGTCGAATAAGCTTAATTTGATCGATTTTTAAGGTGAGGCAGTGATTCTGTATAATTAATTACCACTTTGAAAATATATGTATAGTCAGTAAATGATAATATTCTCTCCAACATGTTTTTATTTCATTTTTTGTATACATTTATATCAACTCACAGAAACGTAACATTTGTCTAGTCAAATAGACATCTTTTATTGATATATTTATCGGATTTATTATATGTTACATGTAAAGACGCATGTAAGTTTTGCTGTAATAATTTCATCAAAAAAAGTTTGTTTATTTTTAATTGTATATACCCCTCAAGTATATCACAAGAGTTATATGAACACAGAAGGATTGTACTAAAAAAAAAATAAATTTAATAGAAAACTAAAGAAATATTACTTGTCGTTTTTCGTGGACGTTTTGTACATAAAAAATGTCTTCCTACCTCTTTCTAAATGCTTTCTTATCTCTTTGTTACTGCGATACGTGACAGATTCGCATTATGCTGCTCGCTATATGCTTACGCTTTAATGGTTACAAATAGATACTGATAAAGCTCGTAGAACATATTTGAGCAAATAGTGATCCTTGTGATTCATTTAAATAATAACATTAAGAAACAGAAACTATAATATGTCGAGTCGGCTTAAATTAACAAATGACGATAAATGCGACGCAACGCAAAATATTGTACTTGAAAACACATACTTCGTTAGCACTTAGTCACTGATGACATTTATACGTTGCATTGTGGAATCATTGTTGCAGTGTTGTTTCTAGAACTCTTCATTCGTTCATACAGATAACTTCTCAGTATCGAAATTGACCTTTTCTGCCCATTCCATTATGATATACTCTCAGTGGCGTGTAATTTCCATTTCCGTTCATAGCTACATTTGCAAAATTGTAAAAAAAATTATGAAAACGATGAAGATTATAAACATAGCACGCGTTCGGAAACAGCCCAATTCCTCATACATGCAAAAAAGGGAGACATCTCTCGAGGAAATACGCAGAACTGATATTTTTCAGATCGATCGTAACGTATTTCAGTTCATGATCGTTAAAACCAGAAAAGTCAGTTCCGAAGATTTCCACGTAGATAAGATATATTATTATTAGGTAAATTACATATGTTCTGAAGAACCTGAAATATGTAAATATAGAAAATCTTGAGCGCGTTCGATCACTTACTCAATTCGTAATCTCTTATGGCAGCTTGCAAAGCCAAAATTAAAGTTAGAAGAAGTACGAAGACTTTGATTGGCTTAAGCGCGTATATTAAAATACCTGCGCTTACCTTGCACGATTGTGGAGGGTTGACGGGGACCCTGGATGGTATGTGCTCGACATCTCGGCTTCAATAGACCATGATACAATATGAAATACAGACTGGCAACAATGGCCGCTGCTACCGCCATACAACGAAACACAAATCTCAGTGATTGTACGATGTCCTCATCACCGAAATTGATATAAGCACCTATGACGGATCCGAGACATCGGCCTATGCAGAATATTAATAATTCAGTTCTGTTTGTCCATTCAGTTACAATCTGGAAACGTACCGATGCAAAAGTGAGCTATCACAGGCCACGCTTGGGCAGTCACGGTCAAATGACGCGGTACCAAGTGTCTCAGGTAGAGAATAGCAGTAACCCACATTATTCCTAAGGTGAATACTTCTAAAGCTTCCGAGATGAGAGACCACCAGGGATCAGATACAAGACTCAGTCCGGTGAATCTGGCCAAATTATCAATAGTATAATAGAATTTTCAATACTTTTTGAAACGAATAACAAATGAAAACTTAGCGACAAGATCTTTCAATTAAACTGATCGCGCGATTATCAGACTAGACTAAAAAAAACTTACCTACCTGATTATGTACACCGTAAAGGCAGTGATAAGAAGATTACTGTGTCCACAGTAATCTACAAGATGTTCAGACTTCCAGAGGAACAGGAACGCAGGTATCGCTCCGACGGTCATAGCGACCCCGATAGAAAGTTCATCGCCTCCTAATCTTTGCAGATGCCTGTATTAAAGAAAGAAATTCTTAATATCTCGGACGAGTGCATTATTGCAATTAAATTATTATATTTTTTAACGACCTGAGGCTATCTTAACAAACTCTTACAAAGGTAGGTAGCTGTCCATCGCGCTCCAAAAGGTTCCCATGACTAGTAGGACAAAGATCAGGGCAACGGTCTCGCTGCCGTACCTCTTGACAGCGCTCATTGGCAACGCAAGCATGCCACTTCTCGTATGCCACCACCATTCTGGTGGACTGAGAGGCATGCCGTCTGCTGACAGAGCAATGATGGCCGCAAGGATCATCAATGCGGCGTGTAGGACAAGAGGCAACCAATAAGCTGGTCCGATGTTACTTGTCAAAGTGCTCAAATAGCCGGTCAGTGGTCCCAATAGAGCAAAACCAAGGGAGCCGAAAGCCAATTGACGTCCCACGTCGCCGCGACCACACGACGTCTCCCTTGTTGCAATCACCACCGCTGCGTCGATCAGGGCGACAGCGGTTGTCGGGAAAATATCCGCGACCGATCGCACGAACAGGTACATCCAGAACGCCGCTTCCGTCCACACTCCGGTAAGCTGGCATTGGCTATCCACCAGTACGCTACCTAAAACATCGACATTACATTATCATATGTTATCATACAGTATATCCTTCGTAAAAAAAGTACTATTAGTGTCACTGCTAGTGCAATATGCAGCGAAGTAATTAGCAAAAAAAAATAAATTATAAAAAAAATTTGATTAAAAATAAGAAATGATTAAAATAATTGATTAAAATCGATTTTTTTATTCAAATTTGTGTTAAAATAATTTCCGCAAGTGCGGAAATGCGATTACTGTAGATTACTCCCAGTAGTGATACTATTAGTGCAACTAGTAGTAAATTTAATACTGCACTTCTGTACTACTAGTTACGAGCAGTGTTACTACTACTGATCATCGACATATAGTACTGGACGCATGCGGCGAAATCTCTTTGATCTTTCGTGTTGACGGACCTAGAAAGAGTAAGGTAAATGTTTGGGCACGGAACTCTCTTTCTACTATTGTTCTATTGGTCGAATTGTATTGCAGGAGAGGGAGGACAGTAACGTATTCTTTAAAGTCAGGAGCCATTACAGAGGTATTATTACGCAGCAATACTACTGTGGTGCAGTTTAAAATCGGAAAATTATATACATTATATTAGATACAAAATAAAATTGTGTAATATGGTTTCTACGTGTATTTTATATATTTTATTTTATACACAATTTTATAATGCCTCAGGGAGGGCCCTTGATTACATGATTCACTACTACCCAAACATCGTTCTATCTCTTTCTAGGTCTGTCAACATGGTTTCGATGCTATGCTCCGTCCAGTACTATATGTCGATGCTACTGATTACTACTCATACCAACAGTGACACTACTGTATTTACAGTAGTGATACTACAGCACTAGCAATGACACTAGTAGTACTTTTTTATGAGGGATTATTATCACCGGCATAAAGGAATTAGATATTCTTCTATTTCTCCATTGTTAGGCTACATAAAAATAAATGAAACGAATGAAGATGATATATAGGTGTCTCTTTTTTCAAACTATTATTATCTATAACTATACTACTAAAAAATTATATATGCTGGAGTCACGTAAAAGTTAGAACGTGATTGTTGCAGTAACAATTTGATCTTGAGAATATTTTTTAATACTACATTTCCAATCACTTAATTATTGATTTTAATCGGACGATTTTGCATGAAACTTAATAATTAATTCTATATACAATAGATCGTTACCCGCGAGAGTATATGGATCGACAAGATCGCATTCTACGGAGCAACTCTGATTAAATGGGGCCATGAAGACTTCTAGTTTGTGTGGTATGCGACAGGCGAAGTATTCGGCTACGGGATATGCACACCATTCATCCTCGTTTTCAGGATTCAGTGCTTGTCCGAGGCTACCGTTCACTGATAGTGTGCCGGAGTACTCTGTGTAAACGTGACAGACGATGTTATCGTTCTCGTCCTTGTAGCACATATGTGGCGGCTCATAATCAATCATGACGTAACGACGATTTTTTTTCGTCTCGTCACGATTCTCCTGCACAGGGATAATAACTTATGTAATTACTAATTATATCTTAATCTAATAAAGAAAATAAAATTTTATTTATGATATTATCAGTTAATTTGTTACTTTAATGTATATACATATGTATATGTATTAGGGCTTCAAGATTGATTCGAATTTTTTAAGATATCCGAATAGTAAGTCGAATCTGGATCTCGAATTCGGTTCCGAATTCGCAGCAAACTTATAGTAAATTTGATTGGCCGACTTTACTTACCTTTACTTCTATTTTATTGGTATATGATTATAATATATTGAATAAATTTTTCAGAAGGTTGCACTGCAATTCTTTATGCAATTTCAAATATTCAATTTTCTGCTTTTTTTTATATTTTAAGGAACCTACAAAATAATTCAATATATTATGGTTACAACTTTCTCTTTTATAAATTTAATAATTTTAATAATATAAATTAATAAGTTTTATGTAACGTAAATTAATTTTATTTTTCTTAAAGTATATATGTGAATTAAAATTCAATTTTTATTATCACATTTAAAAATTAACTTATATTAAAAGTCATTAAATACATCGACATTTTTTTTCTTTCTTGATCTAAATTCAGTTTCGAATCTGATCGGGATCTGAGTCTTCAGATCCGCGAATCCGAATAATTCAGTTATCTGGATTACTTCGAATAATACGATTTTGAGTTCTCGGATTGAAACCGATTTCGGATATCCGAATATCTAGAAGCTCTAATATGTATAATATATTAATCAGTACAAAATTACAAATTACAATAAATCAATAATAAGAATGCTCGATCTTTCGATATCGTTTGCTTCACTTACTTTTGCTGCAAGTTTCTCAATCTTTATTGGACGCATGTAATATCAGTTAAATCTATTTATAACTAGACTTTTATTTTATTAATTTATATTATGTTAAATTTCTTACATAGAATAAAATAAATTAATTATTGAAATATCGTGTCTTACACTATATGGCTGTTTACCTGCACATAGAGTTCATTATTTAACGGAGCAACAGTAGTCTCGCCACTGCCGTCAAAAAGATCGGGTTCAACGTCGGCGTTGTTTCGGAGCGTCGTCGAACGTGCAGTCCATTCCAAATGTCGTTGCCAGCCGATTGGATAGCAAGCATAGCTACAATTTGTTAGCAGCATGGCACCCATGCCGCTGTCATAATCAGCCCAGCGGTGGCAGCCAAAACGATCCTTGCACCTCTCTTGTCGTACCTACAAGTTTAGTATTAGAAAATGGTTTAGTTATATATAGAAAAGAGCAATAATTACCTAAGAAGAATTCAAATATTCCTGATTCTTTACATCTATACATTATTAGGTTGGAGGAAAAGTTCTCCGGTATTTTATTATAGCTCAAAATTGTATATTATACATTTAAAAAATTAGTGATTATACTATTCGATAGAGCAAAATTTTCAGTTTTAAGAATCGGATTTTTTAATTGTGATACGATAAAATCATTATATAAACTTCGTTAAAAAATTAACGGAGTTATGAGCAATTAAAATCACAACGTTCCTTTACTTAATTCACGAATAATTCAGGAACAAAAAATCGTAGGAACATTTTTTAAAAACAAATTTTTAGGAAAAACTTTCATGTTAGATAGTCGAAAATGTGAGCGCTCGCTGCTATTGGATGATCTAAATCTAAAAGAATATATCAATAGCAGTGAGCACTCACGGATCTGCTCCTCAACAGTTGAATCTGCTGAACGCGACCATTGTATATATATTATAATTTATAATTTAGAGTTAACAAAAACCACAGAACTTTTCCTCCAACCTAATATAGTTAAAATATTCTCCAGATATATTTTTAGTCTGTTTTATTTTTTTTATATTTTTTTATTTTCATTTCATAGCTAATAAACGTACCATCGCACCGCGCCAATCGCAATTGAACTTAAAGTACGGGCCTGCTCCGGCTGGTAACGTGCGATCCACTGCGGGCACCAGCATCAGTAGCGAATAGAAGAGTGCTGAAAAGATGCAAGCGACGGCGATCATCACGCGGAGATAACGACCGGTCGACGATTTATCGTTGGTGATCTGGTGACCGGCGAGCTTGTCAGCAATCGGTCCCGCTATTAGCGGCCCCAGTATCGCTACCGCTGGTGAAATCATCGACACGAACCTAACGTTTTCGATGCTCAGTCCTACCTTCGTCATGTGCAGCGGAAGAAACGGGAAGAGACAGCCGATACCTAAAGAGGAATAAAATCGTAGATTGCAATTGCAACAGAGACCGCTCAAATTGAAACAACTGGCTAAATACACCGATCACTGCTTACCTCCGAAAAAGATGAAGAGAAGACACTTGAGCGATATCAGATTCGTATTTATGAGCTTTTTCTTCGGCAAGTCTTTCTCCGTATCCTGATGCATCTTCTCCGTTGACGTCGTCGTGGCCATCGCGAATGCGAGCAGCCGGTCTCTCTTACTCGAGAACAATAGTGAGCGTGCAGTCGGTCGATCGGGACGACCTGGAGCCGTCTACTATGCTGAATGATCGCCTATCTCCATCGTCCAACCTGGTGAATATGCGCGCTTAAGATTACATCAAAGGAACAATTACGGATAACGAAGCTATTTATAAATGTTTACGAACAAATAGATGGGGTGGAGAGCGAGCAACATAATGTACTAAACATAAAGCGGCATTTTGATATTAATAATTATGCTTAATTGTGCTTAAAAGGAAATTTTGTTTCTGTAAATGCTGTGAATTATAAAAAAAAATTTATTTGTAGTAGAACTATGCTAGATATAAAACGGAATTTATCCCATTGTTATAATTAAGATTTACAAGGAACGTTTCACAGGTCCAGAACCGATTTGATTCAAAATTTAACTTGAAATATGTTGTTAAACACAAAAATCTAAGAGATATGTATTTTTTATTCGTCCATTATATAACTTATTTTTAAGAGGTGAAACATCTTTTTGAATAAAAATGGTTTTTCTGTTTCGAGCCGAAAATACTTTTTTTTTTCTCTTTGAGCTGAATATCGTCAAAAGTATAAAAGATAGAAAACATTTTTGTAAACAAAAATTGTACGGTTTTAAGAGTACTTTAAAGTTGTAAAGAAGAAATTTTTTGATGGAGATATTTTGTTAAATAAAAAAATTAACCGTACTTGCAACCGTACAATTTTTGTTTAAAAACATTTTTTCTATCTTTTATACTTCCGACGATATTCAGCTTAAAGAGAAAAAAAAAATTTTTTTTTCAAAAGAATGTTTCACCTCTTAAACATGAGTTAGCGCATGTATAAAAGAAATATGTATCTCTTAGTTTTTGTGTTTAACAATAATATATTTCAAGAAAAATGAAATCGGTTCCGGACAGTTGTAAAACGTCCCTTGTTAGTATATAGTTAGTCGTCGTAAATGAATTCCGACACGTCGACCTTTGTGACTTAGGTCGATCGAGACAGATTGTCATGCGAATCGGCCACGTGTACAATGTATAGTAATCGGGCAGGAAGACCATTGCACCTTCACGCGCGTGCTGCCGGAACATCAAAGGCAATCCGTACGGATGTGATATGTCGATCGATGCCACGTGTGCAGGTTCGTAGCATGATGACAATAATGAAGCCGTTGTACCATATTTGCACCTCATTGGTGACAAATGTGCTTCGAAATTAGGTGGGCCTTATTCGGCTCAGGTACCTTATATTGACTTGAAATTCGTTGATACAATGAACTTTTAATAAAAATTATGAATATTACATTGAGAATTTTTTATTACGATAACTTTGGATTTATTTTATTATTAATATAAAAAATCAATGTTTGTTAATTTTCTGTACTTGAGAATGCATCATAACTTTTTCTTACTTTATAGGTAACTTTAACTCAATAAATTTTAACTTGAAAATATTAACAGCATTGAAAATCTATATCTTGTGATGTAAGTCCCATACATAACTCGTGATACCATTTACCCAGTGAGAAAGCTAATATCAAATCGATATCGATACCATCAAAACACATCGACGCGGTGCATGCATATAAGCATCAGTTTATCCTTGTTTCTATCAAATATCATACAAGGAAAAGAGATGGGCTTTATTTGATGAATATGTCGTTCCTAAACAATATATTATTCTAAAAAATTGGTATATATATTTATTATTTTTACTGATTAGAGAGTTGAATAATATTATAGTATGTTATAATAAATTACAAAATAACGTATATTTAATAAACTTTTTAAAATATTATCAATTTATTGCAGCGGATTTTTATAAAAACGACACAAAACGTCCATCTCGTCACAAAGTTCACATTATACTAAAAAACCGAGTTGTTGCCGGTTCTATTTTTCTATCGGCCCTATGACATATCTTTTAAGCATATAATTTAGACATAAAGTGCATTTATAAGCGGTAATTTTAAAAGTGGGCCTTATTTTGTTCTGGGTTTTATTCGGCTCAGATACCTTAAACGTCATTCATTGATACTACGAACAAAATTTTTTTCAGTATATTATATAGGTAATAAGAATTATAAAATTATAGTATTCGTCGAAATGCAATTTGATTTCGTCCTTGGACGAAAATTCACGTTTATTATTAGATATCATATTGGAAAAATCGTCCAGATTAATAAAAGCGATAATTGAAGACAGTAGGTCGGCAATTAATATTCCACAGCACACGCGATGTTTTATTCCTCGCAGTAGTGCTCACGACAAATCTTCATACGAGAGCGTTTAATAGAAAGAGTTGCGAAACTTTTTCACCGTCACATTCGAAGGATAAAGAGATTCGAGGCATTTTGAGCTTCTGTTGTGAACTCGGTCGTAAGGTTCTATGTGTGTATAAACATGACGATTATTCATGAATGAACATACCTACGCGTACGTATATCTTACGTGTCGAGAATTTATATCAAGGCAAACGCGCCCGTACAATTACATGGATGCGTTTCTAAAGTATTGCCATATCAATCTTCCGATCCAGATGCAACGAATTCGCAGGCGTGCATGCATATGTACGATACGTAAGTATGTGTGCGTTGTACTTGCTGTGACGATCGATTTTCACTGAGCACGCAGCGGTGATACGCTAATTATATTATAACAAATTGCTCTGTTTTCCCGCAACTGTGTCACTTTCATTGAAAATCGACCTCTGTATATACATATATAAAGCTGAATCTATTTTTGAAACTTTCATTTAATCAATAGAATTCTTGCAGAGATACGTATAAAAAAGGTTGTAATAATTCCAGTTTTGGGATAGCTAGGAATTTTCAAAATTGAAAATTTTTCATGAAAATCTAATATCTCATTGTAAATTCGAATGTAAAAAATTACTTCAATATGTGTGTGTGTGTGTGTGTGTGTTGTGTAATTTACTTTTCCGCGTAAAAATAACACACTATACATAAATACGAAGAGAATTTTTTTTTAATTTACCTTGAAAATATTATAGTCGTTGGACAACAATGTATTTCGAAGAATTTTATATATAAACAATATCAAATCTTATTGGATCGTGAGAGTTTAAACTAGTAAGTATCGATGAGAAAATGCCGTAACAGTCAAGCTGGATCTTGGATGCTTCTATATAATTTCGTGTAAATTTATATACTATGTATGTAAGATTCTTAAAAATTTATATACATATAAATCTCTTTCATTTATTAAAATTATAATAAAATATAAAATAAATTCGATTAATTTTATTAAAGTGCATAGTAAAAATCTTTAAAATATTGAATTGTACCATAACACGAGACTGGTGTCACAGTTTTTGAGTGTACTTAGTGATTTTTAGAAGTAATAAGTTATTTAATTTTTTAAATAAAGCTGCGAAAATGTGACAATTAACCCCGTGTTCATAGTTGTCACACGTTCTAAGACTAGCAATAGCATATTTATTATGAACATATAAAAAATATAATTTTTATTTTAATGATAGTTCTATATTTTGAGAAGTAATATTAATTATAGTATTAAAATACAAATAAAATACAGTTATTTTAATCATAAAATAAATAATTTGTTTTTATACTGTAGTTTTTATATGAAAAACGTAAAAAATATATATATTTATTATATGTATAACATATGTATGTGAAATATAATATATATTTATAAAAGTATTTTTTCTAAAAGTGTGTCGAGCTAAAGTAATCCAGTCTCATTTTGGTCAATCTACTCCATATAACACACCATTTTTAATAAAAGAGATTATATTTACAAACATTGTTAGGATAACGATTAATTAATTGTAGCAAAAATTTTCTAAGATTCATTGTCTATGAATACTAGAATATCGCGATTAATAATGCCAAAGATTTGTTAGACAACAAAATAGGTGATAAGAAAAATTTACTCACCAATTTCATTTTTATAAAAGTCGTTGTAAACATATACAATGCTTTTAATGCAAACCATTTTACACAACAAATTAATATTATATCAGCAATCTACAGTAAAAAAAGATTTTTCTGCCATATAATGATTGAGTTATAATTTAATAACATTTAATATTTTGATAATCTATCCCGTACGACAACCAGCCCTTCCTTATTATATTTTTAGGGTAAATTTTATAAGAAAAAATTCTTTTATATACACTCTGTATACAAAAATGAATTTACATATTTAAATGTAGTATTATATAATAAAGTATTTATGTGTTTAATTGTAAAATTTTTTAATACCATGGTATGATTGATCTTGCTCTTACAATTAGTTCCTCATTGAATATAAATAAATGTACAATATAAACCAATCGTATTAAAGAATCTCACAACAGTAGAACAAAGCTGTTTTTTCTGCAGCCATTAAAATCACTTTTCAGTTTTTATTTGGATTTGCAGGGTTTCCTTGAGAGTTCTGATTTTAGAATAACCGCAGAGTATTATGATCGATTCGCTTCTTCCAGCCTTTCATTGAGTCTATTTTTCTTTCACATTTCAAATATTTTCTTTTCGAGATTCTCACATTATTTCTCATTCAATATTACTTCCATTTATGATTAAATATATAGGAGAACGAGCAGGCGGTTGAAAACAGTCGCGCAATTTATCTTTGTGTATCCCTTTTGTCTTTCTGGATTGATTACGTCGCCGTCGTAATTGTCGTCGTTACGTGTAAACGACAAACTCGGTTACGTAGCTTGCGGCTAAGCTATGTCACCATTCTTTCTGCACGGGCTTCTCGTCCTACGCCAATTCACAATTAAACGTCCCGCCTCCTCTTCATTTAGTCGATCGGCACCTTCCGCTTGGTAAAATTTCGTTGCAATCAACAATCACGGATGTGAAGTAACACGAATGAATTTTCGGAGGAACGAACTTTTTGGACTCGGGTGATGAAATTTTACATCAAATTAGCTTTTTTTTTTTTACCTTTCGCGTATACTTACAATAAAAGAAAGTGGTGTCATTAACAAATGTTATTTAATCATTTTTAACCATCTTTTGGGCTTTATTTAATTTTGCAATGTTTTGAGATGTTTATTAGCATCATTATTAAATCGACGATATATAATTTATAATATTATTTTCA